TTTAAGACCTATTTACACCCGCCCTTGATAACAAAGAAACTACAGCAAGAGTTTGGAGAAAAGGCCATTCTCACAGGTGGAGAGAATCAGGGAAGACTTCCTGTAGGGGCCAGGGTTTGATCTGGACCTTGAAGAACAGATGTTAGATTTGAATATGTTGAATGGGGAGGGGTAGGACGAGTATGGGAAAAGCCGAAGAGTTGCAGTGTCTGCAGTCGGGGACCAGCCCAGATCGCTGTCTCTGTGCACTGGCACAAGGCATTTGTCCAAGGCTAAGTGAGACAGTTGCATGCTCTCTCCAGCAGAACGTTTGGTAAACATCTTAGTGCTTTTACAAGAACTACTCCACTAAAATGTCTCTGTTCAAAACAATTACTGTGCCCATCACACATCTTGAAGTAAATTAATCTGTGAACATGCATCAACTCTTAATATCCTTTTAAAACGCAGGCACTGAAGTTGTTGGGTCTGCTTTATTATAAAAAGGCAAAAAATTTCTAGAGAAGTATTTCTGTCAGCTTGGAATGTGAGGAATAATAGCTGCTATTCATAAAATGCCTACTCTATATTGGCCACACTACATGTATACTCTCTTACCACCCCTCACAAAAGTGCTGGAAAGTCACTACTGCCACCACCATTGTGTAAATGAAGAAACTGTGGTTCAGAGTGGTCCCATTGTTCAAGGTCATGATTATTCCAAGATTGACAGAAGAGGCTGATCTACAAGTGTGATGGAGGGCTGATGCCAAAACCCACATTATTCTCATTTTCTTGTGCATGCACTGGACAGTGAAGAATCCCATTCTAGACTCTTTTGTGTCACTGAGTCCCCAGATCCTTCTAACTGTAACTCTTTTTATCCTGTTCATTAGAGCTCTTGTGGTCACCCCTCACTCTAACCTCTCGGCTACCTCTGATCTGGCTGCCTGATGTTTCCAGTTCTGACCATGTGGCAAATTGCAAGGAAAGCAAAGACAGGATTGCCCCTAGCCAGGAACACCCACCACTTCTGGCCCCTAGCAAGGTGCCAATGTCCATGCACAGAACTGAAGCTCTACATGCAGACAGACTTGCATTTGAATCCTGGCTCTCCTGCAGCCTGGCCAAGGGCTCTCCAAGCACATGGCCCAGGCGGAGTCCCCCATCCTTTGAAGAACAGGGGTTGGTGAAAAGGATGAGTATGACTTGTGGGTATGTGGTCCTGGGTTCAGACCCTAGCCTGGTCACACCCCGGCTGTGGGATGTAGACAAGTCCTCAAACCTCAATCTTGATGTCTAAATAAACTCAGCACAACAGTATGTATATCAAAGGGCTTGTAAGTGTTACACGAACATGGCACATGGTAGCTACCAATGGGGAATTCTTTTCAATTTCTGCCCCTTTCCAGGCTGGTTCAGGTGTGCTTTGTTTACCTTTTCATCTGCATAGCAAACACAGGGTGCAGCTCACAGTAGAGTTCAATGAAACCTTGAATTTCATCTTCTCTGTATCTTAAAGTCTAGGACTGGAATTGGCAAACTATGGCCCACTGATTTTTTAAAAATAAATTTTATTGGAATAAATCCATGCTAATTAATTTACATATTGTTTATGGCCACTTTGCATTACAATGTCAGAGTTGAGTAAATGCAATGGAGAAAGTTTGAGCCCACAAAGCCAAAAAACTCTTACTTGCAGAAAAAGTTTGGGGTCCTCTAGTCTTGTGTATGGGATCTTTCAATGGGGGAACCTATGAGAGTCTCTCTGTTTGAATAAATTTTTTCCTGGCTTCTCTCCCACCCACAATTCATATCTTCTTTGATTTATCTATTTTATCCTTAGCTCTCCCGGCCATCACATAACGTCTGTGTTACTTACTTTCCTTATATATCTTTTATATTTTCTATCAACACCACTAGAAAGCTCGACATGGGCAGGAATTTTTGTTTGTTTTGCTTTTATATCCTGGAAACTTGACCAGTCCTGGCACATAAATGGGCACCCCACAGGTATTTGTTGAATGAATAAACATGGGTTTTATGAACAAAATTATTCAACCAAAGTGTGTTAAGGGCTTTCTCTTTCATGGACGACTTTGGGATTTCTAGGGGGCCAGGTGGACTCCTGGTCCCTAGGAGAAGAGTATTATTATTATTTTTTATTTAATAGATGAGAAAACTAAGACTCTGGTTGAATCAGTGCTTCCCAAACTTGAACATGCACATGAGTCACTGGGAATCTTCTGAACTGGGGATTCAGACTCAGGAGGTCCGAGGAGGGACCCCAGGTGCTCCAAGAAGCCCCTTCGTGATGTTAATGCTGCTGGTCTATGGACCACACTTTGAGTGGAGAGGGATTAAAGCACATGCTCAGGGTCTATGCCTGAGACTTGGCAGAGTAGGGTGTTGAATTTGGAGCTCACGGATGTCATTATTTCCTTTCTGTTCTCTCTTCTCCATCTCCATTCATCTCTAAATCCCATGTTCTTAAAGGCCTGTCACTCCTCCCCTCCAAGGCTGCTCCCTGTCCCCAAACACTGTGCCCCCAGACCATCCCTTCTATAGCCACCCCACTTCCAGCATCTTCTGCACAGGCTCCTCGACTTTACCTACACAGGTGCCCAGGACTATCTGATCCTTTCAGTGGCTAATCTCATGTTTCTTCACTACTTTAGGGCCCAATGGTTAAAAATAACTTTTTTTCTTCACGGGCCCCAGACAGGTTGGCTTCCTTTCCCAATTGTACCCCCTGACCTGCACAAGTCACTACTGATGGCCAATGTCAGGGCCATGTCCATGCCTTCCACTCCCATCTGTCTGCAACAACTCTGCCAGTGCCAGTTTCTCCCCAGCAATGGCCTTCTCTTTGGGGGTTCTTAGATCTCTCCTTCTGCTTTTTGGTCTCCTTTTCTAGGTCTTCCCTTCTTTTGGATATTTAACCACAGTCAGTTCTTGGGCTGGTATGCGTTTCACATTCTAGGCTCTGTGACTTCAAGTCTGCACCAGTGGAAAGGCCTTTTTTTAATCCCTGTACCGTGAACTACAGGGACCTGTATACCTGTCTCCTACATTCCCACACTGTTCACCTTTGATGTCATCAGGGTGCCCAGTACAATCATTGCATGATATAAAGTGGGCACCCAGAAAAAACCCATGTACACTGGCTGAAAGACTGAAGGGGTAAGGTACCCAGAGGTTGTGATGGGTCACTTCATGCCCACACAGACTCTGGAAAGTTGAGGCCATGAGAACCCCTAAAAGACCAAGGAGCTCCCAGGGGCCAACATGAGTGCCCTGACTCCTATGGTTTCTGGAAGAGGAAAGAAAGAGAAGTAGCATTTCATGAGTGGCAACTTTGTGATCAGCACTTTACTAAATCATCTCATTCCCTCTTCAAGGTAATGGTGAGGTAGGCCTATTGACCCTACTTCAGAGCTAAGAGGAAGGAAGCTGAAAGAGTTCACAAAATTTGTTCAAAGCTGCATAACTGGGGAGTGATAGACATAGACTTGAACCCAGAGCTTTGTGATTCCTAAAGCTCATTCTCTTTCCACCACACCAAGACCACCCTGTACAGTTTCATACCTCTACACCTTTGCAGACGCTGTTCCCTCTGCTCAGAATTCTTATTTCTTCAGTATTGGTAAGTCTGTCTCTAACAACACTGATAAGTATCCCTCTCTGCATTAAAAAAGGAGTTGCCCAATTAAGTGCTCTTATACCGCAGCCCATGTAGACACCTCTCAGAGCTGACATTTCAAGTATTTGATTTTATGCTGGTCTCTCAGATAGGTTTAGGCACTGTTAGGGTGAGGCTCTAAGTCCTGGTCATCTCTCCAACCAGTGTCTGGAACAGAATGTGCATGTTCAATGTCTACTGGTCAAATGAATGAACAAATGAAGCAAATTCTCTGGTACTTCCAGTGTTGTTGGTGGTGTTCCATTGATTTCTATATAACACAAGGGTAATGGTATCAGAATCTTATCTGTTCTGTGCCTAGGTCTATTGACCTGTGGAATAAGATCTGAGCAGAGTGGATGGAAGAGTCTTTGACTGGCTGTGTTTCCATCTGCGAAGGCTTCGGCAGGTGATTGCTGCCAGACATGGCCTCTCTCACAAGTGTGGGTTGGAGGACACCATGGAATGTTAGGCAATATATTATACTTTACCAGGAGCCAGACATTCTGAATTTTAATCCTACGCTTTTGATGACTGAATGTGTGACTTCACATGCCTCTCTTGAACTCAATTTTAAAGTATGGAAAATGCGTATTAGGAGTTTGAAACCAACTCAGTGGTTTTCCAACTTTACATTACCAAGGACCTATTTATGGAATTGTTCTCCTTTACTCTCATGTTTTGAAAATGCCTGGTTTAATTATGAGATGAAGCATCATATTTATTTAGAAAGTTCAATAAAAAGTTGACAGGCAATTAGCCAACAAAATGCATCGATGGTATGAGATCACTAATGCTAACATCAAACAGAGATACTTCCAGCGCAAAGCAACGACCCTGGGTGTCACCTGTGAAGCTGTTTCTAGAAAAAGTCATGATGGCCTGTAGACTTCCTGAAATAATGGGAACAGTCGATGAATCTGTTTCTAACCTTTAAGCCCCTAGGGCTACCCATTTCCTAAATAGACACATATGGACTCTGAGGTTGCTGAGATCTGAGGTTCTGTTCAATGTGTGTAAGTCTTGCAGGAGGATTTGGTTGACCTCCTGCTGGAATATGGGGATTTCTAAGTAGAAAATTACAATGACAGAGGAGAAACAGCCCTTCACATCTCCGAAAACAGAGGGTAAAAAAACCTAAGGTGGCAGAAACATAACGGACACAAACAATGAGAGTGCATTTTCAAATGGAAAACATCTGCACAAAATAAAAGCTGAGACTACAGATGACTTAGACGGGAGTATGAGAAACCAACAGACACTTGGCTGGTGCAGGAAATGCATGCCACAGGTCCCCTTACAGGGCACGAAGCAAAGTTAACCCCGGGTCGATACTTACAAGTAATAGGAGTAGGAATAAGCATTTCTTCTATATATTGGTGGGCAGTCAGATGAAGGAAATGTCCAAAAAGGGGGAAAAAGAAAAGACAAATAAAGAAGAATTAGATTTATATGAAATCTTGATTGTTAGAAATGCACATAGTATTTCAGCATCCCAAAGCTCAAGGAGATGCATGTTTCTCTACTAAGTCATTGTTGCTGAGAATCAGATACTTTCATTCGTAGAAAAAAATGAGAGAGACCTCTCCTATGATGGAGAAACTCACTACTCACACAAAGGAAAGCACATCGCAGTTGACTGTGTTAGTTGTGTAAAGGTTCTTTCTTAGAGTCAACTAAAACTAGCATCATTAATTATGATTTTTTTGGTCTTGGATCAGATTTCTGTGGCCTTCCAGAGAGAGTCTGTCACTCTTCCACATGACAGTGTTCTTATGATCTAGAAAAACCATAATGACTTCTGTCTTCTCTGTTTCAGGTCAGATCACATCAGTCTCTATTGAGTAGATCATACCAGAACAAGGGGATTGTGTAGCCAGCATCCACCATGGCTCCACAGTGATCCACACTTCCCAGTACTTATGCCTACGTGTAGAGTACTCCCACACTGAATCAGGACTGTCCCCATCCGACCAATGGAATGGAATAGGCATTACACTTTGGGACATTTTAGAATAGGTCAAGAAGAAGTCTTACAGCTCTGCCCAGGTCTTTGCAAATCTCACTTTGAACCCCGAGTCTCCCTGTAAGAAGTCCAAGTATCCTGAAGTTGTCATGCTGGAGAGGTCACGTGGAGAGACTACATTAAAAGGTGCTGAGACTGCATGAAGACAAAGAGCTATCCAGCTAGCCCCCAGCTTATTTTTAAGCCATTACATTTCAGGGAGTAGTTTGTTACATATCAGTAGATAACCAGAGCAAAATTCAAACTTCATGAAAGAGCACTGCACTAACAGAGAGGAATTCCAGTCTTTAGTCTGAAGAGACTACAGCTTGAATAAACTCTCTGTGCCTTCATTCCCTCATCTGATCCTTAGGTGAGTTGAACTAGATCAGTGGTTTCCAAACTGCGTTTCCAGGAACCCAGCAGTTCTGCGGAAGTCTCATGGTAATAGGGGAGGGGGATACTGAGCAGGTAGGGCTGCCGGTCTCCACTCTCTGCCAAGCCCAGAGATCCTCCACTTTACCTATTTTATAAATTAGAGTTTCATTTAGGAATTCACATGACTAAGAATTTTTAAAAAAATCAATGTTTGTAATCTCCTTCTGATGACCCTTCTAGCTCCTGACTTCTGAACAAGAACTCAAATAAGTCCACAATATTCCCTTTGTTAAACTTTGTATTTTATAGGGAAGTAAGTAAGCATGCTTTTATTTTGCAGACTTAGTTACACTGACAATAACTGTTAAATTTGCGGATAGAGAAAAATTGCTGAATAATTCAGGCTCTCAAATATCCATCTGAGTAGGCAAGAACAGTTTCCTTCCCTCTTGAGTTATTTGGTTAATTGCAAACATCTTCCAGTTTGTTTGGCACAGGAAGATACAGTGTTTTTATCGGCAAAGTGGAAATGCATCCTCAGAGCCTCATATTTCCCCCTCTCAAGTAGGAGATGGCCAAAGATCCCAAGGCAAGGCCACTTCTAGGCTTTCTCTCACTTATCAAGAGAGCCCAGCTTTATAGCTTCAGAAGGAAAATGGCTCAGAGCCAAGAAGCCATGGCAGAAAGAAAGCCCTGTGCCTCCTTGGGACACCGAGCTGGGGAGAATGAGCCACAGTGAAGCAAGATCTGGTCACTCATAAAACTGGTCAATAAACAGTGGCCCTGGATGATGATGAAAGGGGTGAAGAATTCTTAACTGTGATGGGAAGGGATTGGAAGAGTCCTTGCAAGTCATCAAATCTCCCTCACCAGCCATACAGTTTGGGACTATAAGACCATTCCTCTTCTTCATTGCTGGCTCTGTGGTCCAGTACCTGGAAATGTGATTCTTCAAGGGCAGAAAACTCAGGACCCACTTAATGAAGACTAATGGACACCTGTGTTCTCCATAGTGTCAAACACTGGGCTGAACATCGAGAGGCCAGGGTTCTGATCCCAGCTCTTTAACTTGCTCACTGTGACATGTGGGACAAGTCAATTCTTTCTCATGGACCTCTGTTTCCTGATCCACGTACAGGCGAGTGGCATGGATAACTACCAGCATAAGCTGCTTTGAGGAGCAGAAATGTGGTAGGCCTTAGCATCCCAGTACCACCACTTGCTAACTGATGACAATGAACAAGCCACTAAAGAACTAAGTCTTAGTTTCTCCATCTCAAGGTTAGGAGCAATAATTCCCTATTACCAAGAGTCATTGTGGGCATTAACGTTAGGTCAAATTACTCTAAATAATATTCAAATTATGTATGGTATATAAAGTATTATGAGCAGGTTATATTAATCTAAAGTAATATTAGGTTATATTAATCTGAACTAAAAAGTAGCAGGGTTCAGTAAAGAGGATTTTATGCCCCTACCTCATCCACAAAACATACGGTTTGCTGTTGCTCATTCTGGTGACCTAGAACACAGTGTGCACCTCTTTAGAAATATTAAAATAGTAATAAGATAAGAACAAGTACTTATGTAGTACTACTAGTACATAGTTAGGAATTGCTCCTGGCTGTTAATGACACAACAACTTATGTATTCCTCACAACCAGCCTGACATATAAGTATTATTACTGCCCCACTGTACAGATGAGAAAACTGAGGCAAAGAAGGTAAAATATCTTGCCCAAGACCACTCAGTCAGTAACTGGATTTGATAGTTCTTGACCACTGGCCTGTACTGCCTTTGGGAAGGGAAGAAAACAGATGTGTGTTGAACAACACAGTGAGTCAGGCATTGAGATGCCACATATTTATCTCTTCTAATCCTACACACAATCCCATGGAGCATTACTCTCATCTTTATTGGAGGAATCTCAGACTCTGAGAGATCACTGTTTACCAGGTCTATGGCTCTGTGATTTTTGGATCAGCTGCAAGACCTCTATCCTGAGCCAGGATCTCAACACTGTCAGCAGCCCCAGCTGCACCCAACATTCTGGACCCTACGGCTTTTATGCTGTCAGCCTTCAGGATCCACTGCTGCCTGGGCTACCTCCTGGTGAGAAAGCATGTTTACTTAACCTTCCAATCACCACTTCCAAGTAGCTTTTCTGAGTTATCCTGTTTGTTACCAAAAGCCAGTGCTGTCCTGACCTAGCTTTAAGGCAACTCCAGAAGGACAACAACTGACAAGCTTTTATTAATTGAATACATTTTCCCAATTAAATTGCAAGGCCTTCTGGGTCAGGGATTATAGTTCTTTATTCTGTGGCCAATACACAGAATACATATATGTTTTCTCTAAGGCTTGAAGAAGATTTACTGAAGGTCTAAATTTATAAGGATACAGTGATATTGCGAGTAACAGCCTGAGACTAAAAATCCTGAGCAGGAAGACAGCTATGCTTAGAAAACAAAAGCAAAAAAACCCCAAACTTAATAAATCACACACTGCACAATCTTATTTTCAGCTGGCTTGCAAGATCAACTTGAGACACAGATTCTCTTTTTTGTTCCATACTATTTAAATAAGACTAAGTTGTCTATTTAACTATCCAGTTGACCATCCACCAATCCATCTAGCACATAAAGCCATCCAGCCGTCCGCCCATCTGTCTGTCCATTCACCCATCTGTCCATCCCTCCCTTCCTCCCTCCAAACATCTATTTATCCACCCACTAAACAATTTATCCATCTGCCTATCCATCTAGCCCATAAATCCACACATTCATCCACATAGAGACACTCATCCGGTGTATCTCCATGTAGCCCTGATTCTGCATAGTCCCTCTTGAAAAGAGGGTCCAAACAACCAAAGGTACTACAAAAAGAATTGTAAACGTTAACTTGCATCTTTTGTAAACTGTAAGGGAATCCTGTTTGATTCGCCCACCATCTCATATCCCTTTCTGCAACCTTTCATTTCTCAAGTTCCCCTCCACCCATTATAAACCAACCAGCCAACAACAGAACATACCTCTCGTTTCTCTCCTCTTTTTCTCCTTATACTTTGAAGATAAATTGATTTAGCTTCTTTCACTGAGTCCTTGCTTTAGTCCTCTGTACCTCTACCCCACTCTCTGCTGGTTTTCTAGTTCAGTATCACAAAACAAAACACTAGCAAGAGAAAAACTCTCTTTGGAGAGTGACAATGAAGCCCTAAGGCCAATGAGGATGAACGTTTCATGGGAAGAAGCTAGGGGAGTCTTATGTGTCCTGGAAACATTTGGCTGCAGCTTTAGTGAAGACTTTGAACAAGCTGGTTCCATTAGGAGCAGAGAAAACAGGCAGCACTGTGCCCATGTGCATGGAGGTTGGGGAGAAGGCCCTGATCAGGCCAGCGCAGGGGGTGCAGCAGGAGTTCGACTTCTGAGAGCTCCCGGACCCAGAACTAACTGTGGGTCAGACGGTATTGAAAAAGTGTTGATACAGAATCCTGAGTTGTGATAATTTGCCTATTATTTGGGGGTTTCTTTTCCTTTAATAACACTTCCTTTAGGTACCTGCAGACAGTGTTCTGGCCAGCAGTAAGTTAGTGACAGACTCAACTGAACAATGAAGTTTTCCCCCTAAGAGGTAAAGGAGGCCACCAAGCACTTCACCTGCCTTTAGTGAAGACTTTGAACCAGTTGGTTCCACTAGGAGCGGAGAAAACAGGCAGCACCGTGCCCATGTGCACGGAGGTTGGGGAGAAGGCCCGGATCAGGCCAGCGCAGGGGGAGCAGCAGATGTCATCTCAATGTCATCTCCAGACATGAGAAGACATTGTGGTCAATGTACAGAGGACAGGCCTAGGCTTAATTCCTCTGTTTTCCCCCTTTTAGCTTTGCCCTCTCCTCTCCTCTCTTCCCTTTTCCTTCCCCCATACCTATATGTACATTATTTTCAAATAATTCAGCAAAATGTTGTGTTTTCTCCAAAAGATACTGTATATGTCAACAACCGACTGGCAAACTCCTGACCTCTCTGCCCACTGTGCAACCCCTGAGATTTGCCTCTCAGGGAGACATGGTGACCGTGTGACACCTGTTGGTGGGGTCTGATGAATAACTTTGATAGAGGTGAGAGATGAAGATATGCAGAAGAGGTTAAAACTGCACAAAGGACTCCCTTTATACTTGTTCTCACTCTTGGAAAAGAAAGCTTGTTCCTCCCTCCTGAAAAGTCACACATTTCAGAAATAGCTGTTGAGAAGGAAGTGAAGTTTTTCCACAGGCTCACAAGCCATGGTGACATTGGTTGAGCTGGGTTTTAGAAAGAGCAAAACTGGAAGAGTCTATCTGATTTACAAATCAGTGGCAAAGAATGAGAACAGGTCCATCAACTGGGGATGCAATTCTATCAAACTGGGTACTCTTTCCAGGTAGACAATTGCAAACTCACCTCTGCCTCCAATGTGTCCGTGACTCTAAGACACACGAGAATGATCTCATATGTGCAATGTGCTTACTGCCCCTAGAGAAATCAAAACCTCATGTTCAGCCTCATCTAATAGCAGCTGACTTATCACTGAGACATTCAATATGGCCACATTTTATTGGTGATGGTAGTAATATGACAATGCAGTATAGTTCTTAACCCTTTGGGGGTTCTCGCTCCCCAATATTAACATAATGCCTTCCCTTCCCCCAAACCTCTCTGACCTCAAAATCAGCAGCTGGATGAGAACTTTAACTCTTTAGTCACTCTGCTTGGGAGCCTGAGGAAGACCATGGTCCTGTTAGACAAAGGGTTTCAAGAAACGATAATGTCCTACCAATAAGATGCCCTGGCCATAGGGGGCACTGGTTGACTCAGAACAGACCATCAGAAACACAGGGACATTCTGATGCCAAAATGGCTACGAGAAGTCTCACTGTGTGTGTAGTGGGAACAATAGTGTATTTCTGATTCACTGATGGCTGAAAATGGGGATTTTACTATTATCTTTGTTTAACTTTCTGTATTTATATATTCACATGACCCCTTAGGTAGAAACTGGGCGTAGTTTTGGGGGCATTCCGTCCCTTTGTTTGATGGGGAACAAATTTCAGGAGCACTTTTTTATTCTACAGATGGAAGCAAGTCCCTGGTCCTTGTTACTGGGCTTACCTTGAACTTTGTAAGTAACCAAACCCAGAGCTTCGGATGGATGGGTTAAGCAGTTTGTTTAATAATGTAAAAGTCTCTTTAAATGGGGGGCAGGGCACAATGCTGCACATATTATATATTATTACAATGTAGATAAATAAGTGTTTTTGCTCTGGCAGACTGGGGGAGGTGGGAAGGTGGAGGCCAAGGTTGGGACCCTGGTGTGGGAATTGAGAAGTCATGGAGGTGAGTGGTAGGCATGGAAACCTGGTGCCAGGCCAGGGGCTAAGCAGAGGTGGGTAGGAGGACCCTCTGTTTAGAGGAAAAACCAGTGTAGTGTAGGGACAGTGATGGCTGATGTTCATCAGCTTTCCCTCTCTGCAACTCCCCTGTGTTATCCTCAAGCCTTGTGAGCATCGGATAAACAAGACGGCTGTGCAGTGAATCCTGGGGAGAAGCGAGGAATCTGCACCCTGGCTTTCATGAGCACATGATCTAGAGGAAACACGCTATATGAGAAAACTGGGTTAGCTGATCAGAGGTGCCCAGGAAGACATCCTGTTGAGAGGCGACCGGCAGCACCGATCCAGCTGGGAAGGTGTTGTGGGACACTCTCCCTTGAGATGACTGCTCCATTGGAAGCTTTCTCCCTGCCATGGAGAGGGCAGCCTGGACGGCTGCTCCTGGACCAAAGGGAAGTCAGGCCTGAGAGGAGATGAGGAGGCTGAAGCATCACTTTCCTGCATCTGTATTTCTGGGCTCATCTGTGTCCCTGGGGCTGCCTGGTTATCTTGATGACATGACCGATCACCACAGAGCAGTTAAATCAGAGAAGGCTCATTTCATGATACAAAGCATCCCAGGGTACATCCAGGTGGTCGAACCAGAGGGATCATTAGCGCATAAGAAATTGACTGTCTCAGGGCCACCCACCAAACAGGGAGCATGTGCCCGTCAGTCACCAACAAAATTAACCAAGTTGGTCCAAATATTCCAGGGTCTTGACAATCACAGCAGTACGTCCTTGCTCGAGAGCAATCAACACAGCAACAACCTGGCCACGCAGCAGTGGCGGGCGGGGGGGGGGAATGGGGGCGGGAGTTGCCATAATCAGCAGGGCAGCAACCCAGACTCACCTCCTTTTGATGGTGAGCATCACGCCCAAGAGAATGATGATGAACATGAGGAGGCCCGCTATCACGCCGGCCATCTTCACGGTGTTGTCCACCTGCTTCTCTGGCTCCACGGTGTTGGAATTCTGAGTGGAGGCACCTTGGAGAAGAAAGGAGGTGAGGGAGATGTTGAGAAGGCTCCTGCATGTGGCTAGACAATAATGGTAATGACAACAGCTTATCTTTACTGAGAGCTAACTATGTGCCAGGCACTCTGCTGAAGGTATCACACATATTGTCCTGTTTTTATCCTTCTAGGGATTAATCCTTTATGATGTTGGGGTTATTCTTATGTCCTTTTCTGGTTTGCAAATGTAAAATGGGAGGTTCCGGGAAATTGAGTCTCTGAAGGTTACACAACTGCTGTGTTGGGGCATCCTTACTGATCGCCCTTATCCTCAGTTGGAGGATTTTATTCCTCATGCGGCTTTATCTCCAGGATCAGACCATGGAATTACAGTTCGATTCTTGGGTTCATGAAATTATTCCAAACCCTACTTCATCCTTTCAGGTAAATGGTGAAAACAACAGCTTTATGTTACGGTAACACAATTAAAATCACTGGATTTACAAAGATAAAAACAAAGGTTCTGTTTTGTGTCTTGTATGAAAAAAATGTGGTGGCGTAGAAATTCAGTGTTTTAAAGAGAACTGCCTTACGTTCAGAAAAACACATCTGACTGACTCCATTTTTGGAGCCACTCTGCTAGCTGGCAACTCACTGACTCAATTCCAGGGAGCTGAGCACCAACTCTGTCCTCTGCTCTGTGCTGGAACATTTCATGGGCCCACCTTGGTCAGTCCTCACAAACACTCCAAAAACTAGACATGAGTTTCCCATTTTGTAGATGAGAAAACCAAAGGAACTTGCTGAAGGTCACATGGCTGCTATAGGTCAGAGTCAGGATTCCATAGCCTTTCTGACCCTCAGTCTAGGCCTCAATAGTCAGAAACCTTGCATTCAACTTTCAGGTCCCCTGGTCCCTCAATCCCCTATCCCAAAGCAATGATTTGTTAATGCCACAGCAACTGTACGCAGACAAAAAAATGCCTAAGTGCCACCTCTTCATGCATGGTGCCAGGGACCAGAAGCAACTACTCCCTCCAGATATCTGAGTGGACCCTGCTGGGGAGCAGTCCCGCACCCCGCCTCAGTGCCTCCTGCTGCTCCTCCTGCTCCCAGTGGCGCCGTGGTTGTGTGAGTCTGCTTAAATCCAGAGAACCTTCTTCCTGGCCCATCCCTACTTTCCTGCTACCTCAGCACCAGGTCATCCTTCATCAGTGACAACATCTTCTCTGGTTGCCTGGACCCCTGGGGGAGTCCCTCTCCTTTCTCTCAGTCTGATAACTCTGTTTCACTTTGCACATGCCTTAATGTATTATTCGTTCTTTCCCCATCTGTTTCCTCCAGTGGTCTCCAGGCTCCTTGGGGGGGAATGCAAGGTTATGCCTCCTCTGTCCTTGCTTCCTCATGTTAGACCAGAGCCTGGCTCATAATAGGTGTTCCCTTAATGTTTGTGCTGTTCAACGTGGAGCTGAAGGGGTGACATCGCTGCCCACACACACATTTGTTCTCATGGAACCGAACTGAGTTTATCCTTTTTCAGCCACATGTTCACAGAACTCAGCTGAGGGGAAGGGACATTAATGCCCAGAAGCTATGATTCTGATTCCCCCAAATTCACTGATGGTTAAGAACAGCCCGCTGGAACAATGATGTATCCCCTCTTCTTCCTTAAGAGCATCCAGTGTTTATTTCATCAGAGCACCTCCCCCAGACTCTCTTGTAACTTAGACAAGCTGTCTAAGTCTCCCTGGTCAAGCCAAGTCTCCCTGGTGAGAACAGCAAGTCTTCAGGAACAGTGAGTGAGTCCTAGCCAGCTCTGTAATGCCAGTCTCTAGCCCAGGCCTCTGCCCTCGTAATTGTTGGTTAACAGATGATTATCGAATGACATAAAGGCAAGTGAACCACAGTTATTTGCTTCATTCATCAATGGGCTCCTGAGTACCCAGGGGCTGAGCACCAACCCACGCTCTCCGTGGGGTCAGAGAGGCTTCTTCTGGGAGGACTTATGGATGAGGGATTTTATTCATCCACGAAAGGCAAAACCAGAGCACCAAATCCCAAGACCACCCCGGCAGGCTCTACTTATCTAGAGCCCAGATAATTCCTGGAGGAGTTAGCCACCAGCCCCTTTGGCAGGGCTGGGCTCACATTCCAGAGTGGGGGGTGGTTCCCAGTAGCCCCACTGAGCTCCGCCTTCCCAGTGTGGAGACAAGATCTCTGCGATCTGTCTAGACCCTGAGACATAGGACGTGACCAAGCGCAAAGGAGGCTGAGTACCTCAGACCGGTTTCCTTCATGCTGCCAGAGTCTTTTTATTTGGAATTGAGGTTAAGTATTGGCTCTGGAACATTCACTCATTGGTGTCGCTGAACTTAATGCCTGTTTTGAGATCCTCTTCTAGAGACTAAGGGTACAAAGGCAAAAAAGCCCTGGAGAGGATCCTAATTCTTCAAGAACACTGTTATTGGCTTGGTTTAATGAGGTTCACACTTCATTCCTTCAGTGAATAATCACCAGCACCCACTACCTGCCAGGCATTTGGTGACAGACTGGTGAGCAAAACAGACAGAGCCCCTGCCCTCAAAGAGCCTACAGTGAGTGTTGGGTGGGGCTCAGGAGACAGGATTCATAAACCAAGAATTAATAATAGTAGGTTTCCAACTCTATCAAGGATCAGAACTGAGAGGCGCACGCCACTTGGGAAGTTGTAATGGGGAAATGAGTAACTTCCAGGAGGAAGTGGCCAGTGGGATGAGCTCCAAGGGAGGATGGGTTGTGACTGGAGGAGGAGAGAGTGAGATAGTCACAGGGGAGCAGCAGAAGAAACAGCACTGGCCAAGGCTGTGTGATGAGCCAAGGAGCCCAGTGCACTCGGGAAATGAAAGAAACGTAGTGTGATGAGGGCGAGAGAGGCGCTGGAGAGGGCAGCACAGGCCACTGCACACAGGACATGATAGGTCGCGATGAGAGTTTTTGTTCTTTACCCCGAGAAACACAGAAAGCCACTGAGTATTATCCATCAGGCAATGATGTGGTGTGATCTGTATTTCCAACACATCATTCCAGCTTCATTGTGAAGCCGAAGAGGATTGGAGAGATGAATTTTGCAGGCATGTGGGTGGGAGATGACAGCTGCTGGACTCCGGTAATGGCGATGGAGACAGAAAGATGCAATAAGACAGACAAATGACCTGAAATAGATATAAATAAAACCTGCTGAAGGACTGGACATGGGAGTAAGGGAGAGAGAACTGTCGAAGAGGATCACAGGTCTTCGGTTTTCCTAACAAAGTGGATGATGGTGCTGTTTATGGGTTCAAGAAACAATTGAAAAAGAATAGCTTTAGAGTAAAGATGTGTGTGTTTGGGGCAATTTGAGCTTGAGAGATATTCTAGAAAAGTACGAGCTCTAAAAAGAGGTCAGAGTTGGAGGTAAAAATGTCTGAATCACATGGATGTAGATGGTACTTGTAGCTTGGGGTTGGCGGCGTCACCTGGGAGAATAAAGTGTGAAAGGAGAAGCAGGCTTAGATAGAGACTTGAGGGTGTGTGGCACAGGAGATAGAGAAGAAATGGCCAGGTGGTTAAGAAAAACAACCGGGAGAGTATTGTGTCCCAGAGCCAACAGAAAAATGTTTCAAGAAGGAAGGAGAAATTGACTGTGTCAAACACTACTCCCAGGATAGAACCAAGCTCCACACTGAGAGGAAAGTGGAGATCATAGATGAGTATTTGAAAAACTTTTTGCAATTAAATCCTAAGATGTCCCGAAACAGAAGCACCTTCAGCGGTGATCGTGAACCAGCAATGGGACGTACTTCAGGGTCACAGAGGAGCATCCAAGACATTCCAACAGGCCATCTCAAAGTCGACAGCCTAGTGGTTGAGACAAATTTGATGAGTTCAGCAAACAGGCATCAGAGCTGACACCACAGATTCTATACAGCAAGGTAATTAGGAGAAGCCGGGCTTGGCTGGCTAACTAGACTCCAGGTACAGGGTTGTGAACATTCCCTGGGACATGGCACATCCAACCTCTGCTTCAGCACCCTCTTAAGGGCATTTTCTCTAGATGCAGGGGGTTTGTGTCCCGGTTCATAGAGGAAGCGTGCCGACAGTGTTCAAGGGGATAGAGGTATAGAGGGAATGGCTCTGGGAGCAAAGGCCAAGGAGGATTCACATGTGGCTCCTATATTAGAGAAGAAAATAAGAGGGACAGGGATAGAGGATAAGCCAGTCCTGGTCTTGTTGCAGTCCGGGATGTGTGCATGGGGCTCACATCATAAATGCCCCATGAGCAGGTGAGCACCTGTGCTAGGGCATAGGGAAGCACATGAGGTTGGCTAATGACAGAGACTCTGGGTAACGTGATTGCCTGTCTCAGGCAGGCACTGAGCTCCTTATCAAACAGAAGCTCAATCACTACTTCCTAAAAATTTAGCTTAAAAGTACTGATCCATTACTGGGGGCCAAGCAATGTGCTAAGCACTTTTCATATAATAAGTCATTTAATCTTTATAAACTTGACTCGGAAGGAGCTGGAGTTAGTTTCCCTTTTATACAGATCAGAAGCGTCCACAATATGGTAAAGTGACTTGTCCCAGGCATCTAACTAATGAGTTTTGGAGCTGGGATTCTGTGTGCAGGACTCAACTCCTTATCATTACAATGAACTGTCCTCGATGGAAATGTAGCGATGGAAATGTAGCTAAGGAAACGGCAACACTGGGCTCACACAGAAGGTCAGCCATCTGACTCACTGACCTGAAATCTGAGGGAACTCTCCAGAGAGGCAAATCAGAACCTGTTCAGGAATATGGAAGCTGCATTACTTTTGCCCTAAGCCCATTCTTTTCATAACAAACTTAGCACCAGGCCTCAGTCCCTGAAAAGTTCTATCCCTGGCCCTGGGTGACTTCTGTCTAATAAGCAGGAAGGGGAAGTCTCATCTCTGAGAGCAGGCGGGGCATCTGAATGTGTCCTCTTCATCTCTGCTGTCCACTGGGAACCAACCGGAGAATAGTCCAAGTAAA